AATTATGATCAAGATGCTGCTTAATCTAGATCAGTCTCTGTCATCCATGCTTATTATTAAAATATTACTTACATATCTGCTTCCTTTTGTCTAGACTTTTCGGTGACTTTATTTATGACAGAATCAGTAACATTTAGCTTATCTAAAATACAAGAAATCCACAATGTAAACAATATGTAAGACAAAAAGACATTAACAGAGTTGCTGAACAGGGTATTTCTCCCCTCTTCCTTCTCTTCTATACTTTCTAAATATTTTATTGTAGATAGAATACAGTTTAATAATGAAAACAGTTTAATGTTTTTAAAGGTAGGCACTAAATTGTGTTCCCTTCATAATGTTGTCACTGTCATCACTACAGCTGTAATAACTGAATTCTAGATGCAGAAATTCTTCAAAATACTATATTTGCATAATAAATTTCAGACACTTGCCAGTATTCCACATGACTAATATAACTGCCTGAATTTAACATTTAATTCTAAAAACTTGTTTCACTTCAAGTTATAAGTCTATCACAGGCAAAGACGACCCTAAAATACTTAGATTAATTTAGCATGCATTGACAGCTTATATGAGAAACACTGTGTTAGGTTTAGAGTGAAGAGGCCCAAGAACAGAAAAACAGCCTTCCTTCCTTCCTTCCCTCCCTCCATCCCTCTCTTGCATTTTCTAAGAGGTGATAATTCAAATCAACACACTGATGCCTGGCATTGAACAGGTCACTAAATAATTAACACCTATATACAAAGTCTCTAGTGAAACAAAATGTGACTATATTCAATACCCTAGTATTTTCAACATCCTACTATGAGATAACCCTATTACAAAATCTAAAACAGGGTGGGCACAGTGGCTCACACATGTAATCCCAACACTTTGGGAGGCCAAGGTAGGCGGATCACTTGAGCTCAAGAGTTCAAGACCAGCCTGGTCAACATAGAGAAACCCTGTCTCTACAGAAAATACAAATTAGCCCAGTGTGGTGGTGTGCACCTGTGGTCTCAGCTACTTGGGAGGCTGAGGTGGGAGGACTGCCTGAACCCCAGAAGTGGAGGTTTCAGTAAGCCAAGACTGTGCCACTACTCCAGCCTGGGTGACAGAGTGAGACCCTGTCTCAAAACAAAAACAAAAACAAAAACAAAAAAACTTAAACAGAACAGACAATAACTTAAATGGGTTTTTGTAACATTATATTCCTACTAGTGGGAAAACAACTAAAATAGCATAAGCTAAAGTAGCATAAGCTAAAGTCTTTTCCTAAAGTTATGTTTTTAAATCACTAAGATTTTAATTTTCTCTAAACATTATTGAGTCTTGAATACATTCATTTTTTCTTTTTCTTTTTTCTTTTTTTTTTTTTTGAGACAAGAGTTTCACTCCTATTGCCCGGGTTGGAGTGCAATGGCACAATCTCGGCTCACTGCAACCTCCACCTTCCAAGTTCAAGGGATTCTCCTGCCTCAACCTCCCAAGTCGCTGGGATTACAAGCATGCACCACCACACCCAGCTAATTTTGTATTTAGTAAAGATAGGGTTTCACTCTGTTGGTCAGGCTGGTCTCAAAACTCCTGACCTCAGGTGATCCACCCACCTCAGCCTCCCAAAGTGCTGGGATTACAGGCGTGAGCCACTGCGCCCGGCCTTCATTTCCTGATCTGATAAAATTATACAACACTTCATGGTTTTTGAAAAATGTCCTCTTAGCCCAGGGAAATAATATATTTTGTAACTCACCTAAATTAATTTTATTCTCAAATTTCCGTAAGACTTTGTCTGCTGGAGTAGACATTTTGGCTGAACTGCTGTTGGAAGTCTGTCGATTTGCCTAGAAGAGATGAGTTCCAGAGACTAAGGTACTAGTTGTAAACACAAACCTAAGATTCACCATCACATTTCCTTAGTTCATAGTTAGCTATTAAAGCACCAATACTTAGAGGAGTACCTTAAGGAAAGCTAAGAGTCAATCAAATTGGCTCAAAAATTATTTTAAAGAGCATTTGAAACAAAAAGTTAAAGTTACTGACTAAAACAAAGAATCTGCATAATCCATTTTTTTAACTTCTCTATGATTCCTCTTTATAAGTAACATACTAAAATTAAATGTATTCTTCTAATTTTTTTTTTGAGACAGAGTCTTGCTCTGTTGCCCAGGCTAGAGTGTAATTGTGCAATCTCGGCTCACTGCAACCTCTGCCTCCCCAGTTCAAGCTATTCTCCTGCCTCAACCTCCCGAGTAGCTAGGATTATAGGCACCTGCCACTGTGCCTGGCTAATTTTTGTATTTTTAGTAGAGATAGGGTTTCACCATCTTAGCCAGGCTGGTCTCAAACTCCTGACCTCATGATCCACCCTCCTCGGCCGCCCACCAAAGTGCTGGGATTACAGGCGTGAGCCACCTGAGGCGTGAGCCCAGGCTATTTTCCTAATTTGACTGGTTTATAGATTTAAAATTTGAGAATGTTCATTTACCCCCAAAGTATATAATAAAGAGCTAAGACCAATATTAAGCTGGTTCAGAATTTCATTTTGGGTCCAATGTCTCAAAAAAGGGAAAGATTAAGCATAAGGCTTAGCACTTAGACTGGTGCTATGTACAAACTTAAATAATGAAATTGCTCAAAGCCTCATTACAAATCAATGAAGGAGTCACCAAAACAAGACGATCTGAAAATGCGAAATTTCTTGTTACTTACAATATGGTTATTTAAAAATGCATGCATTCTGGTCCATGATACAGCCATTTTATTGTTGTTGTTTTCTGAGACAGAGTCTCACTCTGTTGCCCAGGCTGGAGTTCAGTGGCGCAGTCTTGGCTCACTGCAACCTCTACCTCCGAAGTTCAGCAATTCTCCAGCCTCAGCCTCCCAAGTAGCTGGGATTACAAGCACCTGCCACCAACTTGCTAATTTTTGTGGTTTTAGTACAGACAGGGTTTTGCCATATTGGCCAAGCTGGTCTCAAACTCCTGATCTCAGGTGATCTGCCTGCCTCGGCCTCCCAAAGTGCTGAGATTACCGGGATAAGCCATTGCGCCCAGCTGATATAGCCATTTTAATAGTCAAAGGAAGACTGTTGGATTAACCTTTATGCTTTAGGAAGATGTACCATTTTAAACCTATGGCCCTACAAACCTAACACACTCAGTACTTACAGCATGAGAAGCAGCTGTACATGGTTTGGTAACTTGCTTTTTGCACATGGTAAATAATCATAAACATATTCCTATCTCATTAATAGTCTTCCATTACAACATCTTTTATGGCTCTATCATGCCTCATTGTGGGAATCAGTCCCACAGCACATTTGATCCAGTTCAAGGTTGTTTCCAATGTTCCTCTACCATAAACAATCCTGGAGGATCATTCTTGTAATTAAGTCTTGGCACACTCATAGAATTGCTAAGTCAAAGTATTTTGAGGTTTTTAAAGTTTTTATCACATACTAGTTTATCCCACAAGTAAGTGCACCTATTTACTTGACCATCAATGATATATTTTGTCTTTAACAGTTTCATAGGTGAAAAAATGGCATCTCTACAAATTTAATTTGCATTTCTTTAATTACTAATGAGGCTAAACTTTTTTACCATGTTTCCCAATCATTTGGAGTAAACTGCCAATTCACGCCCTTTCCCATGCAGATTTCAAGCTCACAATCTCATGAAACCTTAAATAACTCTTTTTAAATTTACAGATTCTGGAAAGAATCCACGCCCAAGAAATTATCAGAAATATAGAAAGGATGAAAAGTGAAAATCAGTAAAGGGTGAGGCTACAGGACAAGATAACATGAAGAAAATCTTTTAGCTATTCAATTCCAGAATCACAAAACAGCCTTTTAAAAAAGAAGACATATAAGCAGACTATATAAGGATGTGCAGAATCCTTTATAAAATACCTGTGGGTTGCTTGCTCCATTCCAGTCATAACCCTTGGTAAGTTTTCCAACTCCTTCATCCCAGTCCCAATCACCGTCATCATCATAACCCTCCTCCTCCTCATCTTCTATTTCACCTTCACCATTCTCATTCACATTGTCTTGAAGGTCTTGAAACAGAAGGTCATCCTTCTCTTTGACTGTCTTCAAGTCTCTGTTTTCACTAGAAATAATAATGTTTTATTATTTCATAACAGAATTTATACATACCCTAACTGAACTCACATATTTAGTTACTTATGAGTTTAAAATATTGATAAACCTAAAATAGATTATATATTTATATACAATACACCTTCCAATAAGCTCCATCTTCTTAAAACCATGTTCTCCTGTTTTCCAGTTCTGTTGCAGTTGTTTGCTCATTCTCCACGCCCAAGAAGCACATCACGTGTTAAATCTGGTTCTGCCTTAGTGAAGTTAGAATTTACATTGTTGTCTTCTCTGCTAAATGAACAACGCAGACCAGTATACCAGACTTGACTCTAGGAAAATCATTCACAGAGCTGCTTTAAGAAGAAGAAAATTTTTCTGTAAAAGGTTAAAA